CTCACATGAACCTGGACAGGTGATGGGATGATTCCAGGAAGGGGCCTCACATGAACCTGGACAGGTGACAGGATGATACTGAGGAGCACTGGGATGGAGGGGCAAAGTCACAGCAGTGGAAGGGTCTTCAAAACCTGCCCTCTGAACTTCCAGAGGGCCTGATGACATGACAACTAAGAGGCTGGGTCTACTTAGAACTTCATTTCTCAATGCTTCATTTTTAAGCCTTCTATGAAAATGCAAAGCATGTTATATTAAAATACAGTAAAAGATTTTAATCCCTGACATTTGTGAAATACCACACTTCAGTGGGTACAATTACATTTTATTTTAAGGAATTTAGAAGTGGCACTGCTCACAAAATTTCCCTCAATCACTAAAAACCACAAAGTTGGAAAATTTCTTTAAAAGAGTAGATACCAAAATAGCTTTTGGTGTTTGAAGAGAACAGAAAAAAGCTTAAGATCTGAAGGACAAAAGTGGTATTTCAAAGCATGCTGAATAATACATTAAAATAAAAAAGAATGAGAAAAAAATGCATTTCAGAGGTTAAAGCCTGTTATAAATAACATCATTCTGTGAGTGTACGACTGACTTCAATAATAAACAACAAAAGCCCACTAAAAAGGGCATCAGCACTCCTCTGGAGTTCACTGTCAAAGAATTTACCTGCTTATAGACTGTGCAAAAAATGGTAACAAAAGCCAACCCAATAAGTCTTGGAGTATCTGCAAACAAAAAACTTTCTCTACGTTGAATTTACTGGCTTTGAATCCAGTTGAGTAAGAGCTGGCTGCTGAAGCTTGTCATCCGGGATGGGAGAGTTATTTGAAGCGAAAGGGCACTTTGCTGATATAGGTCATGTGGCTATGAGTATAATATTTTAGAAATTTCTCCTCAATGCCAAACATCTACTGAGAATCAAAGACAGGAATAAATTTCCTAAGCATTTCCAAGAATTTACATAGTAGAGGGTAATCATTTCGGTTTATATATGCCTAGTTTTCTTCAAGCCACAGACTATTCTAGAAAGGATCAAGTATATGACATTTATAAACCAAGCATGTGGTGAATTCTAGAATGCTAAACTAAGTTGTTTTTCACTTGCTTAACAGTTTTATCCATTAGCTGTAAATTACATTAATGTTTTGCAATATACCAAAAACAAGTATGTTTTCTTGAGTCCTCGCTAGCCTTTGCATAAAGCTATTATCCTTGGACTTTCCACAAATATTTATTTTTAAATAACTCATTAATTATAACAACTGGGAAGAGTAATACAAGGACCTGAATACTTCAGCCAAATGAAGAAATAAATCTGCACTTTAAACTTGTTCTCCTGCCTGACTTTATGTGGCCATTTCCTGACTAACACAATCCTAGGTTAAAAATCTTCAATGTTCCGACAAAGGCTTCAGGACTTGTTGTTCATGCGTGGGTGATTCAGTCCTATTCTCAATGAGAGAGATCTCCAGCACAGGTAAGAGCAGCTGAAAGGCGTCTTGGATGTAGGAAGCACTGTTTGATGCCTGCCAGGAATGAGAACAAGAAAAAAAAAAATCACAATCCCTAGAAAGAAAACACACTAGAAGGCAACAAAAGAACTGATTAATATTTGAAATATAACTAAATCTATAATTTGCCAAGTAAAAACACAGGCCTCACTAATGCAGTCAACTCTATTATAGGGAAGAGAAGCATCTACCTCTTAAGATACCCTAACAGCAACTGTCAGCATTTTTTTCCAACTTGCCATCAGAAATGTTAGCTGTTACTTGGCATCCAACTCAAACTTGGCATTCAAAGTTTATTTATTCCTTGACTGAGTGGGTAGATTCTGTCACAGAACTGCAGCCAATTACTGAAAAAGGCCTCAGAACGCTACGAGCCCTACGCCCACAGGACTCCAGCCCATTCTCACAGCCCTTCCTCCATGAACTCAATACAACCAGTGAACAGGAGATAGCTGCTTACAGACATTAACAGAGAGCACTGCTTTCAAAGATGAAACAGTGCAGATACACCTCCATCAGGTACGACCAATTCCACAATTTCAGAATCATTCTGCCCAGCATCTGCCAGACTTCATATCCAGCAAGCTCTCACTTTTTGGGATAACAACAGTTCATTAAATTAAGATAAAAGTGTATCATCTCAAGGACAAGACTGTTTCAAATCTGTAAGCAAGAATAATCAACTAAAAATAATAGGAAACACATCAAGTGAAATTACCTTTTCTGGATTTATCAGTGGCTAGTAAAGCTACTTAAAATTCAGTGTGGCATTTGACAACTCATATTCCAGCCAAAAGAAACCTCAGAGACCATACAGCTAAATCTGTAGCTTTGTACTTGAAAATAAAATTATCAGTAAGGGCAAATTCCTGACCTAGAACAATACAGCAATCAAGGAATGCGCCAGAACACGATGAGGCCCTTTGTTTGCAAAGTTCTTTCAAGTCTGCTACTTGCCACCTGCTAAATCACCAAACTATTACTTTTAAAGAAATTATTTAAAGGATCAAAAAGTCTCCCTGACTACTCAAAGAAAGCTGCAAAGCTAAGGAATTAAATGCATTTCAGCAACGGTGCTGATCTAGTGCTTTGTTTATTTTGTTTGCTTTGTTCTATTGTTTTGTGGCAGGGTCTGACCACGCAGCTCAGGTTGGCCTCAAACCTGTGGTGACCCTGCTGCCTCCGGCTACTGAATGCTGGGATTACAGCAATATACCACCATGTCTGGCCCCTTAATGGTAATGCAAAAATAACATAAAAGCAAAAAAGCAATAGTCCAGCAGTTAAATTTTTTAAATTCATGTTTAAAACATAATCAAATATATCTTATCTCCCTAGACTAACATAAGTACGTTTTAAACATATCATTAGTCTGTGTTGTCTACACAGTTCGTTAACAAGAAAAAGTTCTTAAACCATGAGATAGGGGTTAAATCCACTTCTTGAATCTAAAAAAATGAAAATTATGTACACAGAGGCACATTTATGTGTAAATTTTTGATAAAATTATGTACACATTTTTGATAAAATGCGTAAGAACACATAATCTCAAGGACAAGAGTGTCTCAAAGGGGAAGATTTTTGGCAAAGAAATGACAATGCTTTGTTTTCAACACCTCTCTACATAATTCTTGGTCCTTTAGGAAGCAGTACGTGGCTTTTTGTAATTTTCACCCCTTCATGCTTACCAGCTTGTCTCTAGACAATGTTTCATTACCAAGAAGTGTCCATGAAGTAGTCAAGGGGTAGGAACTAACTAATGACAGAGAAGAGGGGTGGTAGCAAACCTACGGCACACACCACAGAGGGCTGTTTATTTCACAGAGACCTCTAAATGGCTCCCCGCCACTGGCCAGCGCTTCTTGAATTACACTGTACCCACAGCTTCAACAGCATGTCTGCACATTATACATCAAACACACACTGTTCTGGCTATACCAGTACCAACATGGCTAACCTCATTCAGGAGGCTGGCAGTCAAAACAAAGTTTTCAGAGCTAAATAAAAAGGGTCAAAGACTTAAAAAGAGTTATACTGACCTCTAGAAATACTGCAGTGATTAACGGGTTAAGGGCATCTGCCTTTTCTTTGACCTAGTAATAAAGGAAACAGTGTTGAGTCAATAGGGCATTAAAAAAAAATTGGTAAAATATAAACACAGTTTGAAATACATATATGCATAGGATGCTGACAGAGAGCTAAATGTCTTCTTTGGAATATTAAACCTTTTCATACCTTTTTGTGCCATCCAAACTGAGTGTACTGCTATGTAGTTTTTCACTGACTTTTTAAAATACCTTCACTTTGGAAAACAAGGTAAAAGTGGTATACTTTCTAAAAACACAAACTTCATAAAAACTTTAAAACAAAATATATAGACATGGAACATGTGTTCAGAAATATCTCAGTGGTTTTTAAGTCCCACTTCACACAAGGAAATAGTTCAGATTTGGTCCCCCCATGTGTCAGCACTTTATACTTGACTCATCAGCTTAAAGTCTCTTTATGGGACACATTAAAAAATTTTGCCTTGGGGTCTGCAGAGATAACTAAGTGGAGTAAGTGCTTGCCTGGCAAATGCAAGGGCCTGAGTTCGATTTCTAGTACCACCAAAAAAAAAAAAATAATAATAAAGATTTTTCCTCGGGGGTGGGGAAGACAGCTCAGCAGTCTAAGCACCTGCCTGGCAAGGGCAAGGACCCAGGTTCAAGCCCCAGTACCGCATACTATGCCAGCCCGAGAACCCCGGGCACACCGAGCCAGCCCTGAAACCAGGTGTGGTGGTACACAACTGTAATCCCACTGCTAGGAAGGTTGAGACAGGAGGATCACTAGAGTCCAAGCTGTGTACCAAATAAATAAACCTACAAAACAAACGATTTTTGCCTAATTTCAGGAATCCTGGGGTTCTTTTACAGAAAATAAAGAGACAAGGGGAAGCCATATTATAGGATTATCCCATACAGGACTAATCTAAACTCAAACTTAATCAATTGATTTAGGACCCACAGTTTTGCTGCGACACTTGCACCAATATATTTATACAGTAATTTTCATTTTACTTGTTAAAATGCCTTTGATTTGTCCTAATTCACTGACTTCTCAAATCACCTTACATAACTTACACACCTTCAGTACGTGTTTATAATTCCATTAAAAACAACAACTTCGCTTTCATTACAGCTCACTTGTTGGCTGGTAACTACAATATGAATATGTCACCAAAGGCTAAAAAGCTACTTTTATTTTTTTTTAATTGATTTTATATGACTTTTTCTTCCCCATAATTTTATTGAGAAACAAATAGTAATAAGACAGTTTCAAATCAAATTGGTAGAACAGTTTCAATAATTAACACATTACATACATTCTTCCAGGTGGTTAACTGCTGTACAAGATGCAGACATGATATCCTATTTACAAACACCATTAGAACAAATCCCTCTATTCATTAAGAGAATGTCACTATATATCTATCCTAACCATTTTGAATACACAGAAACAAAATGGACACCCATCTGTATCCCCTTTTTTTTGTTTAGTTCCAATATTTGAATATTACAGGCGTGTTAACGCAGCAAAATATTCTAAAAGAGTCCAGTAGTCCATAATAGTATTAGGTCTTCTGCTTCACTGGCAATGTCAGAAATTGTTGACCTGAGTCCCCTACAGCTCAACATAACAGCATGGCTTTACTTCTTGTACTTCGTTTTTATACTTTTCTGCTGGATGGTTA